AATCTGCTGCTATTATTTTATTTAAACAGAACTATTTTGAAAAAAAACAACTGTATAATCAAAATTAATGCTACTCCTCATATTAAATTTTAAAAGATAAATGAGAAATTTATCTTGATCCTAAATTTAATAATTTAATTCATTTTTCCTTCCAAATTTTTAACACAAATCACAAAAAATATTTGTTACATTTTAAAAAGATAAATGAGTATTTTTATAACGGTTTTGACTATTTTGCAATGATTTTAACATCTGTTAAAATTACTTAGTTATCATTTTAAAATTCAATTGATATTTTCTTGTTATTTTTTCAGATTTAGGAGATTTTTTTAAAAATTATTCCTATTAATTATACATATTGCGTCTAAAAATAATAGGAATATTTTAGAAGAAGAAACACACATTCTAACAAATAATTAATTTAACTAATTTTTTTAATTTATTCTAATCAATTATGAAACAGATTGGAGATAATAAAATTCAAGATTAAAGTTGAGCATTGATTTGATTTTCCTGGCGACAAGCCATGAGAAGAAAATTATGTCATATACGTATTGAAATTTATTGAAATTTTGTTTTTCTGCCAACGAAAATATATATTTATATAAAATAAGGTGCAAAGTCCTACAAATAAAAGATGACAAATAACAAAGCAAAAGAACATAAGAACTGAAAATAAAAAAAAAAAAAAACTACACACAAGCGGCAGAATACATTAGGATCAGCCAGGATCATTGAGAGTCCTTTTGAACGTCATTCACCAATAACAGGGAAAATTTCATTTAAGGACTGCAGTTGAAAATTTATTTCAAACAACTCTCAAAACATTCTGAAATGTCATTACAGGACCAACGGACCAAACTGAAATTAAAATTAAGAGTAAGATTACAATAATACCCCTCATTTTATTTTTTTAAAAATAAATATTAATGGTCGCAGGAGTTCAGATCACCGGAGGTCGGAGGTCGGAGGTCCGGCTACTAGCTCTTAAATGGCCATTACTATAGTTCCGGTGGCCAGAAATTTTTTTTTTTTTTAAAATAAAGTGGCCAAGGGAAGGTTTGAACTCATGACCTATTGACACACCAAGGTGTTTGGGTAGAAATTAAACCATGATTTTAAAAATGTTTTTATGATATATGAAGTAAATATGTGGAGAAATTTGTCTTGTTTTGCGAGAGAACACTTTTGAGTACTTCTAAACACCCCCTATTATGCAAATAAAAATATATATAATGCAAATAAAAATTTAGTCATATAATGCAAATATATATATATAACAAAACAAAAGTAAGTATCCAAGCGTAAGTGAACAAATAAAATTCGACAATTTACAAATAAAATTCAGCAATTTACAACAAAAATTTGACAATTTACAAATAACATAATGAAATTCGCAACCCTAACTGCAATATTTAAGTGTAAATGAGCAAATGAAATTTGAAGATTTACAACAAAAGTTTATAGATTTACAACCCAACTTCGGCTATTCACAAGAAACACAAGAAAATTCACAACTTAAAATGTAAGTGTTTGAGTGTAAATAAACAAATGAAATTCAGATATTTACAACCTAAATTCATTGATTCATAAGAAACATAAACATTACAAAACTGAAAAGAGAATTCACAATTTCAAATACAAGTATTTATGTTTCTTATGAATCGTTGAATTTAGGTTATAAATATCTTAATTGTTGTTGTAAATATCTAAATTTCACTTGTTCATTCACACTTAAATATTTATATTTTGGGTTGTAAATTTCTTTTTTTTTGTGCATCGCCAAATTTGGGTTGTAAATTGATGAACTTTTTTTGTAAATTTTCAAATTTCACTTGCTCATTTATACTTGAACATTTGCATTTGGGGTTGTGAATTCTATTATATTATTTATAAATCGCTAAATTTTTGTTATAAATTGCTGAATTTCACTTGTAAATTGTTAAATTTCACTTATTCACTTATTTGTTTTGTTATATATATTTTTATTTACATCATATGATTAAATGATTTAGTTGGCTTTGTGGTCACATCACGTTTGATGTGCCAATAGGATATGGGTTCAAACCTTTCCTTGGCCACATTATTTTTTTAAAAAAAAAAAATTGTCCGCCTACCAGAGCTACAGCAGTGGTAGCAACCACCAAAACTCCAACCTCCGGCGGCGGCCACTTGAGCGTAGATGGCCAAAACTCCGACGACCATTAATATTTATTTTTTAAAAAAATAAAAAAATGAGGGTTACTATTGTAAACTTACTCTTAATTTTAATTTCAGTTTGGTCCTTTGGTCCTATAGTGACATTTTAGAATGTTTTAGGAACTGTTTGGAATAAATTCTCAACTGTGGTTCTTAATCGAAATTGTCTTGCCAATAATATATTACCTCGAGCTATTTTAACTTTTAGTTTAGCATAAAATATAAAATCTCAATCCACTTTGTCTCTCATATTTATTTATTCCTTTCAAAGCAATCCTTGTATTAGTTGCATATGTTAAATATTTCATCAAATAGTAGTCTTAGCTAATACACATTATTAGCAAGGATATTATAGAAAAAATAAATTATTTATTACAAATAACTAACTTTAGACTTTTTAAACTTTCTTAATCTACTCAAATTAGTCAACTAACTCTTCTACTTGCCTCGCTCCTTAATATAAGAGCTCGTTTCACTTTTATTTTGATTCTAAATATAAAACTATAATCCACTTTATCTCTCATATTAATCCATTTTTTCCTAAGGTAATTCTTTCAATAATGATAATTTTATTCAATATACTTAATTAGCAAGAATGTTATAAAAAATACAACTCCTGTTTATTACAAATAACTAACTTAACTAGTTTTTTTAATCTATTTAAATTAGATAACTAGTTCTTGTATTAATAACTAGAAATAGTCTTAAGAAGCAGAAATAGTATGAATCCACTCAAAAGAATGGTTCTTGATCAAATTCACTGAGACCAGGCTTCTCAAAGAAAACGTCATATACCCAACGAGAGGAAGGAGATTGTTGGAGTGATAATTTTAATTAGCAATTTGTTGTCTGATTTTGGAACTGAATCTCATTAATTTATGGAAATTTTGTTAATGAAATAAATATTGTAGAAGCAAAAATAGCACTGATAAGTTTATTAAAATTATGCCAGTGGAAATGTGAATCATCACAAGCAATTATCAATCCTATCTTGTATAGATTTATCAATCATACTAATCCGAAGTCTATATATGACAATTGGCATATTCCTACAATCTATTTGGTTTAACTTTTAACCATACATATATCACCTAACTTTGAAAAAATTAAAGGAGGTTTAGACTTTTTCTAAAAAAAATTTGACTTTTTCTTATAAAAAATTTATATGAATTGCAGCAATATTTATAATTATTAGTATTAATATTATTATCAAATAACTGAGACAATGATATTCTCTTGATATTTTTAAAGTTAACGAAGTTTTCTAATATTTTAAATAAGAAAAGTATTATAGAAATATGATAAAATTAGTTATTTGGATTATCTTATTTGATAATTCTAGTTAATGTGTATTTCTAAATGAAATGCAACATTACTTAAATTTTAGGATTTTTTTGGCTAAAAATTTTCAAGAACTTAGAGCAAGGTTATAGCGGATCACCTTTGAATTTAAAGTGAATAATGCCTATAAAAAAATACTTCAGTTGTAAAAAATAACCTTTGGCCCTAACAATTACGTAGATGATCAAGACTTAACAGCTTTTTCAATAAAAAATAAGCACAATGAATTCACAAATACATTATGTCGTATATGTTGCATAATTTATTTTCAATTTTCTAATAAAAAGAAAAATTCACAAGTGTGTGTTAGATACAATACATACATGTAAGATATGACAATTACAAAAATTTTATGATGAGTATAGACACATAAATATAATACTACCATTGGGTCTTAAATATAAGAGTTAGTTTGTAGCACAAACTAGCTCTTATATATATATATATATATATATATATATTTGGTTATCCAAAGCATCCTTCTACCCGAACGGTAAGACACTAATCTCTCGGGGTATTATCCGATGCCGTAGCGAGGATCCTTCTCAACAGTGTTTTTTCCATACACACCAAGAATCAAACCTAGGACATGACATTTAATGTGTCCAAGATCCTTCCATTTAAACAAACACTTGTTGGTAACTAGCTCTTATATTTAGAATTGAGCTAATGTGTCTATGTGAAGCTTTTCAAACTTGAGCAATCCAGCTGGCTCAACTGATTAGATCGAAATAAACTCAATCATGCTTTGAGATTTTTTTTTTGTATGTTTATTTCAAACAGTACAAAATCACTTAAAAGAAGCTAATCCTATGCCTTATCATTCTACTGCTCATAAAGACATTTTTCAAAGTTGGTTCAACTGACTTGCAGCATTTGTTAGATCAACACAATTAGACTGATAAATACATTGCTCAACCTCACCTACACAACGAACGGTCTCCCATCAATTATGCAGCCAGTATATCGTGAGTTAGGTAAAAGAAATATGCTTCTGTATCCAGAAACTCCATAACTTGGGTCATGCAGAAGTCAATATGTACGATTTGAAGGCCACATATCAGAAGAGATCATTATATTGTGCTGTAATCTAAGTTATAATGACCAAGCATTAATACCACATGTCAGGAGTTAGTTAAAAGAAGTTTTTGTTTGTAGCCACAGACTCTATAACTTACAAAGGAAGATATCATTATATTCTGTTTTTTCGGGTACTTGATGAATTATAGTACAAGTTTCAGAAGGATTGGCTTTGTCCAGAATACCAAGTTACTTCTCAAGGGATGTTACGCACTAAACCATGCTGTGATGTCTCCTTCTTTAGTACTGCACTATGCTCGCCTCATCCGGTTTGGGTGCAAATATAAGGGGGGAAAAGTTACAAAATAATAATGCATGATATAATCCTCATATTACCTGTCTTGTTTCATAAAATGAAGTTAACATGTCAATGGAATCCGTGCTTATAAGGTATTGCAGCATTAAAAAGTAGAATACCAAATATGCTGATAAAGCACACGCTTCGGTAGATCTACCCAAAGCTTACTTAAAAGAAACAAATCTGTTCGATATTACAACAAATTTCACCACAAAAGTGAGTATCAGCAATCAAATAATTCTGAAGGAAAATATCTAACCTTAAACTCTAGTGAACATTTCATCTAGTAGATCCTTTGCCTTATCATTGTCACCTCTTTCCAAAAGAGGCCTAATAATTCTATCAAAGGTTACAAAATCAGGTGAGCATCCATTCTCCTTCATTGTAGAAAGGAATGCCTTAACCTCATCAAACAAGCCCTCTTTACAGAGTCCATTCATCATTGCAGTATATGATTGGACATCCAAAGGATAGCCATTGACCAAAAGATAATGGAAAATCTGTCGCGCATCATTCAATCTACCAGCTTTGCACAAACCACTAATAAGTATAGTATATGTGTATGTATTAGGCTGAATTTTCTGGTCAACAATTCGCTGAAATAATGTGATAGCCTGATCAAGATGACCACTTTTGCACAATCCATCCAACAAGATACTATAAAATATTATATCTGAGGGCTGACCTCTATCATACATCTCATAAATAATATCCTGCACATAGGACATTTTACCAGATTTGCACAAACCATCAACAAGAGAGCTATAGGTGACAATATTGGGAGTCAAATTTTTGCTCTTCATCTCCATAAAGAGATCCACGGCCTCATCCATCATCTTGATTTTACAGAGTCCATTAATTAAAATACTATAACTAATAACATTAGGAGCCAAACCACTGTGGACCATCTTGTTGAATAGATTCCTTGACTCACTAACATTATTAATCAAACAGTAACCATCCATTAAAGTGCTATAAGTAACTACATTAGGTCTTACACCACACTTCATCATCAAGCCAACAACAGCTTCAGCTTTGGTGACACTTCCTTCCTTACAAAATGCATCAACCAATATATTAAAAGTACAATCATTAGGGTTGATGCCTTCAAGTCTCATTTGATTAAACAATTTTGCAGCGTCTGACCATTTACTCATGACACAAAAACCACATATGAGAGAGTTGTAGGTCACAATATTGGGAGACATACCATGATCAATCATTTCATGAAATAAATCACACGCTTCAGTTATAAGTCTTTCTCTGGAAAAGCCATCAATAATCGTACTATAAATAATAAGATTAGGCTTAACCGGCCCTCTCGCCATTTTTTGCAGCAATTTAAGGGCAGCTCTTGTTTTCTCCGTCTTGCATAGTCCATTTACAAGTGTGCCATAACTGACTATATCTAATTGGAACCCTTTTGCTATCAGATCATCATGAAAATCCAAGGCTTTCCCAACCTCATTATTGATACAGAGGCCCTTCATTAGTGTAGTCAGAGTAACCGTATCTGGCCGACAGCCTATCTTAAGAATCTTGCCTAAGGCAGAGAAAGCAAAAGTCATCTGACCCACATGGCAGTAACAGTTAATCAAGATGCTCAGTGTAACCAAATCTGGCGTGAAGTCCTTAGATTGTGCTTGTTTGAAAAGAGAGATAACAGTTTGATAATGTTTCAACTTTGCAACAGATCCTAAGATCTTATTAAGTTGAACTATAGAGGGTGGGGGGCGCACATTAAGCAAGCGATTAAAAGAGGAAAGAGCCTCTTCGATACTCTGAGGATTTGTCGAATAAGAATGGAACCGAAAGGGGAGAATAAGGGCATATGAAGGAGAAAGAAGGAACAAAGTTGAAGATGATGCAGAAAATAAATGAAATTTGGGGAAGGCATACCTTGAAGCCCTGCCGAAGATCATCTTTAACTTTCAGATGCTTCAACGCATCGAGAGACAAGACTGAGCGGGAGGGACAAGAACTCTGACGAATCACTCTGGCCGAAGTTCTGAAGCCCGTTTGTTTGTTTGTTTTTTGTTTTTTTGGTACATTGAAGCCTGTGGCAGCTCATTCCTCATTCCAAAAAAAAAATTTCCTTACATTTATTATATGTTAGTTTGAACATGAAAAAATGAGCGAAAGTTTCATGATTGAAAATTTTTCCAGTTAGGTGGACTTGAATTAAAAATAAACAGAATTATAAAGTCTCGCGTTAAAAAAAATTATCAAAAAATTTTAATAACAAGTGACCATTTGTTATTTTTTTTTAAAATTTGTTAGTATAAGCTGCTCAGTTGTCATTAAGATTTTATAGTAATTAAATTCTTTTTTAGGACTTAATTGTAATTCTCTCAATAAAAATACTTTCTATATATATAATACAAATTTTTAAAAATCACTGTCAAATTTTAAAATTTATAGTCAGTATTAGTTACTACATTTGTAAATTATATTCAAAAAACAAATAACATAATATTTTTATAATAATTTTTATTTAGAAATTTGAAATTTAACAGTTATTTTTTTGGAGTTTTTTTCTAAAATATCTTTAGCTTTTTTAACTAATAAAATACATTCTAGTTTTGTTTCAGTTTTAATCATATATGAGTATCTTTTTTTGGAACAATTCATGGGCAAGGGCCATTCAGTTGCATCTCATTCTACGGATACTGGGCTACACTAGTACTGGCTATAAATTGATAAATTCCAAAATATTAAGAAAATGAACCGCTTAATTCGCTGAAAGCATTTGGAGGGCCCTATTTAGCCTTTAGAATGGCTGCTGATTATAGTGGCGGTGCTTCTTTTGGATGGTAAGAGCACTATTTAAAAACAGCTCAGTAATAACAAAAGAAATATGTTAAAAAAAATGTATTCCGTAAACTTAACTTATACATACTTAATATTGGTAGTTTCAAACAAGCTTAATAATGATTGATCATTGCTACGATTTTTCTTCTAAGCATAAGAAAGGAGAGACACCATGGGCCTTCTTTTCGGCCTGAAAAAAGAATGGGTCTTTAAGCACAATGTTTTTGGAAATATGAAGAAATCAACAATAACGTAATCTTAGGTTAGCACAGGTAACAAATACTCCTCTGGTCCTTAAGACTGAATCTAATTATTAAGTTGATTTTGATACAAATATAAGACCTATTTTTCATATTTATCAATTTTTCCTAAATTATCTTTATGGATATTCACTCAACCATAATCAAGTAGAAAAGAGAAGGAGGATATTAAGAAAGATAATTATGGTGTTTTAGGAAAAATACGTCATATTTTTTTTATAATGAACTAACTTACCTAACTTCCTTAATTTAATCAAATTAGTTAAATAGGTCTTATATTAAGGACTGGATGAGTACTATCTTGGGTCTTTAATATAAGAGTTAATTAGCTATTAGATTTGGTTCTAGATATAAGATTTCAATATACTTTGTCTCTTAAATTTATAATGTTTTCTAAAAAATATTTTTATTAATTGTAAGGAATTCTCATCAATGAAGAGTTCTAATGCACTAATAGTTTAAGAAAGTAAACTCATATCTATTACAATTAACTAATTTAATTTATTTTTTAATCTTTTTAAATTAATTATCTAACTCTTATGTTAAGAATAAGAAATTGTATATATTATCTTTGATAATAAGTAAGAGTTGTGAGAAAAAAGAATTTGATATTATCTTTGATAATAAGTAAGAGTTGTGGGAAAAAAGAATTTGATAAGTAAGAAAGCTCATACCTCAGTGTCAAATCTTTTACAATGGGAAAAAAATACATTTAAATTGTCAATTTTTTTGTTACTTCCCAAGATTTCCCATTAATGGTCATTGATTCAATGTTGAAAAAATCGAATCCACCATCAAACAAATTGAGACATTCATTTGGGGTTTGATGATTGGATGATGGATTAGCTTTAATAAACCAATCATGACAAAAGTTAATATATTTTAAATGATATTAGCTTAAAATATAAAGAAATAACCACTTCTAATAATAAGATTTAATAATTGAATTCAAATAAAAGTAATATACGAGTATATTTACACTAAAAAATGAGTCTTATATTTAGGACCAGAAGAGCATAATTATAAAAGCAATATTCATCAATACTCCATATTTTTCAATTAATATATATTTGTACACTTATTTTATAATTCTTAATCTTAAAATATACATATGTACATACATACATAGATGTATCTTGCCTATTTTTTCCCCTTACTGAATTCTTTCTAATAATACATGCAAGAATCATAGCTTATAAACACAAATTAAAATTTAAAAATAAAAATAAAAAATTATATGATCAATTCAGTTAGTTGATCCTATATATTAGTTTCACCGAATGATACTAGCTTGCCGTTGTTTTTTTTTTATTATTCTTTGATTTTATCACCTCTTCATACTAAACATGTGACTAGTACTTGATTCAATTGGTCACGATTGAATCTGGTTGTTGCAGCAAGGCTTTGCCTCAGTGGTTTATGAATGGGTTCTGGAATTTCCAATACCTAGTTAGTTTCAACATTTTTTCCGTGAGAGAATTCGACTTTTGGAACTTTTTGGAATTTGTTGTTTGAGTTGTTGCGTAGAAGGTGTACGTTGGAATCTCCAAGAGGCTCCATGCACGTAAATGATTCCATCGAGGACTTATGATCCCCTTTGGTACAAAGTATTGAAAATGAGGGATTGGGGTTGGGATTATAATTGAGAAAAATCATTAAAATAGTATTTAGTATGAGTAATGACTTGTTATATGGGATTAAACAAACCCATAGAGGTGAGATTGGGGAATACCACTTCTCCCCATTGTATTTTCTAATCCCACATATATGGGTTTGGTTAATCCCTTATAACAAGTAATCTCTTATGCTAAATATTCTTTTAGTAAATTTTTCAATCCCAATCCCACTCCCTATTCTTGATTTTCAATACTTTTTACCAAACGATATCTATAAGTTCTATCAGAATAAATAGAGAATGGATCAAGAAACATATTGGGTCGAATCTCGGGGTCGGGTCGGTTGGATCCTCTAAGCTCACACTATAAGCTAGACTATAAAAGTCTGAGCTTTGAGTGTGAAACAACCTTCCTAAATAAGCCGATAAACTTAACTTTTCCATAGTAACTTTAAGAAATAACTTTTTATAACCCAATCATGCTAAATACAAATTTAAGTTATATCACAATCATCTACACTAACTAATTATATAATATTGTTATCTGTGATAGAAAAGAGCAGCACCCAATCATACATCCTATCACGGATAAAAAAACTTTTCCTAACTCATTCAAATACAAACTATGTAAGAAATGATCAATCTTATCTAATATGGTCATAAAACAACATATAATATACCTCATAAATCAAAATATTAAGAATTAAATCTTAATTCATACTTTATAATAAATTCATAAATAAATCACATACGATCCTAGGCATCTGGCTAACTACTAGCACACATACAACAATAGTACAACTCAAAGGACATGAGACATGACAATGCATGAATCAATTAAAAACAATTTATCTTAAGGTGGCAGTATACATGAAACAACATAACTCATAAATCAAGGAAACGCTACAATTTGCTAATGTAGCTTTACTCCTCCTAAGCCTCCCCTGACATCCCTCCTCTAAAACTTTCACCTGAAAAATGTTAAAAATAGGGATAAAACAACGTTTTAGTAATTAAATTCCTATCTATCACACACACTAGCATGGGCTAGCGAGGTGTCAAGTGGAATACACAGAGTTAATAACAGTCAATAGACATTTATTTAACAGTTAAACTCACACTAACCATATATAAGTCGAATATTTCCGCCAATCTCATACAGCTGATAAATTTCAAAAGAGATAATATACTTTCTATTTTATTCAAAGATATAAATATCAACTGAAGATACCATGTCATATGCAATCTATGAATCCAAATCCATCCTTATATCCTCCTTATTTCTGCCGACTGAACCCATGGGCTAAATTCTTTTTATTTGACTGGTTACTTTGACAAGCTCATCACACGAGTGATATGGATTGGCCAAAGACCATAAAGCACTCGGTGGACCATGGGCCCTCTCGAAGAACTAGTGGGGTGTCGCAGTCCCTTGAAGAATTAGTGGGACAATAATAGTGGCCAACCATAGAGCTCCGTATGGAGACTGATAACACATGGTAAATATATAAATCTCAATAACTCCAATCATCTCCTTCCCCCACCCAAACTAGATGCACATGGTTCAAAATAACACATTTATATGCATAATCAACTTAATTTCAAAATAACACCTCATAGTCAGAATCATTAATTTCTAACAATACAAACAATTTCAATCCTTTTCAAAATAGTATCTCACAAGACCGTTTATACAAAACATAATATATGTATACAAAACTTGGTAAATCACTCACCAACCTCGTACCAATGCATGTAACAGATAAAAATTTAGTTACCTGGTCTCCTAGCTAACAGTCAAGTACAAAAGAGGCTCGTACTCAAAAATACCACAATAGGGTTTATATCTACAATTGAAATTAAAACATTATTTCTACAGTGTTAAAGTAAACTACTCATAAATTTTTAACCTTTAACGCTCCCTCTAATACCTTCAGCTATTACTCGAAATTCTAGCTCGAAATGCTCTTTCTAAGGTCTGGGGTAAGAATATATATATGATTATTTATATTCAATTCTTAGGTTCCCTTAACTTACGTTATCTTTAATTATTAAATTATATCATTTGAATCACCAAATTCATAACCTAGATAGAGAACCCTCAATCTATAGCTTATGTTCTATCTTCAAAGAATTTAGACAGGCAATCTCAATATGAGTTAATTTATTCTTACTGTAGAAGTCTAATCATTAATCCAACCGTTGAATTTAATGTCTTACATGTTACAAGTCTACTCCCTAAATTTCAGGTTAATCCAACGGTAAACAAATTTAAAAAAACTAATTTACTATCTAGTATTCTATCTACCAAATCTTAAAAAATAAATAAAAAA